CTGGGATCAAGAAGCATTACGGGCAATCAAGTTGCACAACGTTGTTCTGAAGTGCCGATTCCACGACATCACCGCGATGCCTCGCGTCATGCTTCACTAATGAGCCACAGTTGCTCGTAGCAGCAGGACATCAGCTGAAAGCCATGGGGCAGAAACTCGGTTCCCCCAAGCTTCAGGAGGACTTGCCTTGGACCAATTGAGCTGCGGGTTACATTATTAATATGAATAATGTTAATATAATTACTATTTATATTTTATTAATATTCTGAAATATTATTAATGTCAATATTAGTAGGATGGAGGTGGAGTTCAGACCAAGTCTACTTAGTCCGCGTTGCAATGCGGCCAGCCGCTTCCAGGGAAAGGACCAGACAAAGGTTCCAAGCACCATGCTTGCAATGCTGCACTACTAGCAATCTGAACTGGAAGGTTTCTGGTTCAGGGCTACATGTTACATGACTGGAGCTGAAGTTTTGCAGATGTTGATCAAGAGAATCCCTTCTTGTCCGGACCGAACTGTCTGAATTTTCATGTTTCTGTGCCGGTTGCCTTGGTGCTTGGTGTATGTTGGCTCTACCACAGGTTGAGGCTACAAGCCAAATGTCAAGTAAGAGATTCATTTAGGCATGGACACGTGCCCTTAGCTTCTTCAGAGGCCCGGCCCAGCAAATCTCCTCCATGTAGAAGTAGGTGTGCAGGTCCGTGACCTCTACAATACGCGGAAGGTCCGCATCAGAGTCCTCCTGTGCCACGAGGGCAGGTTCTGCTCTTCTCATACACGCCAGGCTGAACACATAGCGCCGCTATGTGGGGGTTTCCCATAATTAGGGGTACCATTTTGGGGGTCCCTATAATAAGGATTATAGTATATTGGGATCCCTCTGCTTAAGGGAAATTACCATATAAAAGCAAGCATTCCGTCGTAGACGGTTTCCGGTGGATTGGCGTGATTGACAGCAATACCATGTGGAAGCCTGGATGCGTGAGCCAGAGCTTCTACTTGTAGCGTGTATAGACGCAATGCAATCTCCTGCAAGAGAGCTTGGCGAATCTGCGCCTCGAGCTCCTACATCAGAAGAAGTACGATTTCTCGGTAGATGCATGGCTGAGAGAGGCAAAGTTGTTGAAGGATGTGTCTTAAGTCTTGCTGGCATCAAGAAATTACGAGTAGCCGTTGGCTCTATATGCATTGGGGTCACTCCAACCCAACAATCGCGTCGCGGTGATGGCTCTCAGAAGCGGTTATCAGCTATCATAAAGATGTGACAATCTTGGGACGCTTGTGGGGGACACGAGTGTGAAGCATAGCCCGTTTTGCGCCCTGCCATTGCCACTACTGACGTGACTTCAGCAAGTCCTCAGGGTTCATCATCACCTGGTCTGCCATGCTACCCACCTGGCGCCGGACCAAGTTGCTGCATCTGTCCCATTCCTTTTTACGATGTTGCAGACTATCAAAGGGGAGGAAGCTGGACAGCTACACCGGGAAGTTTCAGAGAAGACCAATACAGCGTGCATGTGGGCAGCGACAGGGGTTTTTGTACCGATGCGTTCTTTCTACCGATGCTCTACCTTTTTGCAGGATGTGCGTATCAGGTCACACTACACCAACAAATCTCAGTGTTAGCCTCAGAGTGTGTCTCCAAGCGATGCGATTGCCTTAGTTGGCAGCATGGGCGTCAACATGCTGTAGTGCTTCATCTCTGCCCAAGATCACTCTACATCTTCCTGGGCAACATGTATCTTCTGGATGACCATCACTCTGGAAAAACAATCTTCCAAAGCATGCTCGAGGTCTACTTTGCCACAGAAGTTGGCATACTAGTAACACGCGCTGGTTGCTTGCCTAGTTGGGCAGAAGCTGGATCTGGGCTGCCAGCGGGCTACCGTCTGGATCCACGTGCACAAGGACCTCGGCACTCAATTGAAGGATGTATTTCCCTGCTCAGAGATGCATCAGTGGGCAGGCTTCAAAACGTCTGGATATATCTTACATGACACCAAAAACTGACACAACTCCCCGTGTGGGTAAGGAACGTCTGTGACTGTTGGATGGAAGTCCCGGATGACCTGGTCGTGCACTGCCTGCAGGGTGCACGTGTGCCATGCGAGCAGTACATTCAGCACAGCCGGTGCCACTTTCTGTCCGTGTCCTCTGCAATCATGGACGCCGCCGAAGCTGAAATTCTAGCATCTACCACAATGGTGACGTCAACCAGGCAGAACGGTCCCATGCGGCGCGTCCTCTTGGCTTCCAAACCATGCATGCGTGAGTTTGCATTACCATGACTCCGGTGGGGCGTTTCCGTTCAGGCCCCTTTTCTGCAACATAGACGAGGGACTAGAAACAACAAACTCATGCCATCTCTAAGATACGCCCGCTGACGGATTTGAAGCTGGCTAGTCCCTACTAGTACCAACTGCAGAAAACGACATGTGGGTTTGGAAGCATTCGTGAGCATGCACAGGAGATCACAGAAGCTTGGGCTAGCCCGTCCTCAGGGTGTGTTTCCTGACCTCAGAGGCATGCAAGCGGCGGCATGTTGCACTGACACTAGCTGCATTTCTTTCTTGTCAATGATTTGATGTTAGCGTTGAACCGAGACATCATTTACGAATTGCTGCTTTCTCAAAAAAAGGTTCACTCCCATACCACATACCCGAAAACTATGACATGTCCGAACACTATAAACCCCCTATACAACCCTACTCTCCATTTCATGTTGCATTTTGTTTTCCATTTGATTCTCCAGTATTGGAGTAAGTACTACCCCTACACCCTAAACCCTAAGTGATGTTCTTCAGAGGCTCCCGCACGGAGCAAGCTTTTGCAACCGAGGCCGTGGCACCTTGTACCGTTGCAATGGTCCTGCCATGAAAGCGTGCAAGGACCGGAAGCCAGCGATGTAAAAAAGCTACAATCATGCTGCTTCTGGCTACCCTCAGTTGAGGGCAGCAAAGGCAACTTCATGCCAAAAAAGCGATTTGTTCGGACGCCCTCTTGCTGGACTGCTAGACCCTAGACCACAAGTGACTAGGCCATTGCTTGTGTAGATCGCTGCAGCTTGTGATGATGCTTTCATCCCAGTAGTTTTCTTGTGTAAAGAACTGAGACTTGAGCGAGGGCCCGTGCCACTTAAGTAATCCTCTCCCCCTAATATTCAACCCCCCAGACTGCTAACATTAAGTACTCATTATGTGGTATATCTATTGGGAATATCTAATGTTAGGGGGAGGGGGGGGGCCTAAACCCTAAACCTTAGGGGTGGGGGAGGTTCATATTAGGGCCAGGGGAGTGCCCAGAAAGGCCGGCCTGGAAATTGCTGTTCCTTGGCAAACACTCCGTTCCTGATCCGCAGGTCCTCAAGGCATGTAGCAGTTCCAGATTTTGGGGGCAAGTTGCCATAGGAGCTGTAATCTAAACTCCTAGTACCCCCGTGTTAGTCCCCAATATAACCCCCTGTCTAACCCCTTTAAAGGAGTGCTCATATGTGAATCGTCTCCAAGGTTTAGGGTTGCTGTCGTCCAGAGGGAATCCATGAACTGACTGGTTCTTAGTAGGGAATAAGGGAATACAATCCCATATAATATAGTCCCTTATTCCCTACTACAACCGGCAAGTGGAGAGCCCATAACTTGAGCAGAGCCCATTACCAATAACAATTTGTTACGGTTAAACAATTGGCTGCTGTCGTTGGCGCCATTGACTCAACCTAAGGCTCAATCACCATAAAAGTTCAAGAGTGCTACTACTGCCAAAGATGATTGCAGTGGATTTTTTCGGATGCTTACATTGGCATATGCAAGAATGAGGTGGGAAGCCACCAACAAGCAGTATCCTCAATATCCTTAGTTGTCACAGGGACTGCCAAAATAGGGGCCAGAATCCTGGCGCATCCACAGGGCAGCTAAGGCCTTGTCCATCCTCAGATAGGTCAGGATCTGCGGTAGCAACCGCGTGGTTGTAGTCCTGATCACCGGGGTTGTGCATGTTCCACTGCCAAGGTTGAAGGTTGGCGGAAGCCCAGCACAGCATACAACTGAGCAACACCAACGAAACATGCCCTGCGTGAAGATAAGCCGTGACACTCACGGGACGCAAAAACACAAAAACGCAGGAACTTTCCGGGTGCAGGAAGCTGCGTCTTGACTCTGAGCTATGGACGAGCAGATCGTTCAGACCTTGCAGACATGGCATCGAGAGCGCTGGCAAGCATGCAAACACATGATCTTCTCAACGGAAGCAGGCGAGCATCTACCGCCGCAAGCCATGGGCTTTGATCCCTGGATGCTTTCCGACCGAGAACGCCTATGACATTGCAGCTTGGCCCTGGCGCATTAGAATAATGATAACAGTAATAACAGTAATAATAGTTGCAATAGTAGTAATGACAAGAATAATAATAGTTATAATACAAATGCTAGTAATAATAATAAGAATACATTTTGCTTCACAGCCAGTCTTACCAACAAGGCAACAGAGATTGCTCGAATCGTGTTGCTGTGGCTACAGGCATCTCCCTGTAGGCTGCAGAGTCTTGTGGCCTATGTTTGTGATTTCTGGCCTCCCAGGGCACAACCAAAATATGCACTGAACCCTGGAGGAAGCTGCACTCCAAACCGCTGGCTTCCGACACTGATACCACTGCCAATGTTGCCGCGCAAGTTGCAGTTGCAAAGGAAGACTTTGCCTTTGCTTTTGCTGTGCCGACCGCTCACCGAATGCAAGGGCCCCCCACCGCGCCAAAAATCAGATGCTCCAGCAACAAACAACTCCAAACAACTCAGCAAAGCTAAAGGCGCAGGAGGAAACCCACCTACTGCATCCTTGCATGGCCAATTTGACAAACTGCCATCAGACGGTACTTCCTCAGCATGGCCTGAAAAAGATTCTGCCAGCGAAACAATGGCAGGCTTCAATTAGAGGGATGCTCAGGAACCCTTCATGGAGAACACGAATTAGCTGCATGCAGCATGCACAATTAGCAACCACTGACGGATCATTGAAGGTCAGCTGCAAGCATTACCTCAGTAGGCGAAGGCACTTGCAAGTTGCCTCTTGATCATTAACGCCCGTCTTGCTGGAAGTATGGAAAGATGGAAAATCAGGATTTTGATGAGTATTGACAAAACTGATGAGGGCCATGAAAGCAATGCGCTTCGGGCGGCAATTCTGCAAGAATTGATCCTGATTTGCCTTGCCTGGCTACGTCATGGAGCAATTGAATGCATGTTGCTGATGTACATCGCCCAGAATGATTCGAAGCCGCGAATCAAACAACGCAGGCCTCGCTGCTGACAGGTAGCTTGCACAAATTCCGCTTCTCCAATGGTGCCGCTACTGTTCTGATCGAAGTATGCGATCATCCTTTCCAACCTCAGCTCGCTTGCAACTTGCAATGATTTGGAGCCCCTTCGGCCCTGCCACTTACTACGGTGCAGTTGCAAGGTGCAGTTGCACATGTGCTGAGCTTCCAACTCATCCTCTTTGAGGGGCAGCTCGGCCTGAAGCGAGTGGCAAGGGAGCTTGCAAGGAGCTCTGGGGCGCGCAAGTTGCATCACGCGGTGCGGTACCAGCTTATTAGCCTACAGGCATGATGGGCCCATGAATTCTACAAGACTGAATTTCTGAATGTCTCACGATCAGTTACATAACCATAATCGTCCCCAAACTGCGCGTGCCGCCTACCAAGCGCTGATTATGCCAACCCTTCACTCCCTACACAAGGAGGCCATCATCTCCAGCAACCGTGACTCGCCTCCTTGCTTGCACGACGAAGATCTCGCAAACCGATGCGTCCAGATCCCTCCTGCGCACAATGGATATAAATCTTACACAACCCTACTCACTGCTCCCTGCCTTGTCGAAGAGGCGAAACCTGGGAATTGAAAAGCGCATGTGGAGGTTTCGAAAATTCGGGGGTTGAAGAGGGCCATGCAAGGATAGAAAGAGGTAACAAGTATGCATAGTGTGAATTAAGGGTTTCCCAACATCAGGGGCCCCCCTATGAGGGACCTGGCTCAGTCACGACTCTCAACCATCCAAGAAACGTCTTCAGCATGGTTGGAAGTGGATCCTGCTCGGCAAACTTGCTCCAGAGTATCCGCGAAAAGGTGTTGAAGTCTAGCACCTGCTGATGCAGCAGGCAGAAGCTCTGAGCAAGATTGTCCTATCACGGGTTGACTTTTGACCCAGGCGCACCAACAAATCTGCGCAGGGCGCTGGTCGAACGAGCAACTTGAGAATCCCGTGAAGCAACATTCATGTGAAATCATCGGAACCAGCTTCTGAATTACAGTCATGACGGCTCTTTCATGCAAGGCTTGTCGTGCAGGTCCCGAGTAACCTCAACATGCCTATGAGCCCCATTTGTTGTTAATGAAGCTTGAGGCACAGTGTCAGCATTCACGCCATGCGCGCGCATGGCTGCCAGAACGTCAGCCTTCCTCAAGGTAGAGCGGACGCTTGGGACTGAGACTGTGAATGCTCGAGTGGACGTGCAGGATGCATGTGCGCCCAGTATATGATCATAGCGTACATTTTCTCTATCCCAAACGGAGGATATAGTCTCACTCGATGTTGTGGACCATCCCCAAAGTAAGCGCTACTCCTCATGATCCTCATGTTGGTTACATCGCTACTGTACTTCCATTTCCATGCAAGCCTGCCGCGTTCGGAAGCCAAGGAGCTTGGCTGGCAGCTCGAGGGCCCGCAGGGAAGCCTTCAGCTCGTGGTAGCCCACGGCTGCCCCTGGAGGATCTTTAGGATTTAGGGTTTTTAGTTTAAGGGTTTAGGGGTTTAGGGTTTGGGGGAGCTCTTCTAGCTTAGTGGCTCTTAGTAGGGAATATTGGAAGATACGCCGTATACAATCCATAGAGAATGTATTCCCGCATTCCCTACTAATTAGAACCCCAAAGTACACCACGTTATACAGCAGTAGTTTCCACTGCCTTTACCACTATCCCTATAACCCAAATATATTCCCATATTGCCTACTGAGCCCCAGTAAGCTAGACAGTATCTTCAGCCCCGTGCAAAGTGGGGCTCGCGCTCCAAAAACATTTCTGAAGACGGAGCAGGCTGAAACGGAAGAATTGAAGGGGGTTAGGGTTTAGGGCTTAGGCTTCTGGAATGCTCTACATTGACTTTGTGACCCTAAACCCCAAACAAAACCCTGCAGCTGGCTATGCTCTGCTGTCCTGGAGTAGTGTCAGCAGCAACGTAGTCATTGAAGATGGGTCTCATTGCGTTGGCCGAACTTTGCCATCAATTTCATACCATGAACCCTAAACCCTACGGTAAACCATGGTAAACCTTAACTGGAAACCCCAGCCTGGGGTCTACCTAGAGTCCCCCTTAAGTAGATAGAATATAGCTTTGGGTATATTATAATATGATCCCCATATATCCCATATTCTATCTACTTAAGGGGGACTATAAGGTAAACCCTGAAGCCCTAAACCCTAAACCCTACATCGTCTTGGCTTTGCGCATCTTGCCTGACTCCTCGAAAGTGTCGAAGGCAGCTTTGATTTCTTTTTCCCGCTCCTTTCGGACGCATAAGTTGGTTCATGGTTCGGGGGCATTGAGGGCCTTTTTTTAACGCCTTTTTCCACCTGCATGACAGATAGAAGACTCCCAGGGCAGGCGAAAACTCATCCACACTCACATCCACTCCCTTTCCAAGTAGATATGTCACCAACTCAGAACGGCCCATACATATTCTCACAGGCCCCAACTCCAACCGCATCTCCTTTCAGATGCCACAGTCAAACATCCCAGTGCCTTCGAAAATCAACTACGGAAAACAGGCCTAAAACAAGCTACGGAAAACCAAGGCATTGAGGGCTTTAGGCTTCAGGGTTTCAGGGCGTGGGTTTAGGGATCTTTCGTTGGGTCATTCCAGTTGGTAGTTATTTGAAAATGTGCCGGCAATATCTCTTCAACTGCAAAAGGCTACGAACTCACCCATCAATGATCTGGATCTAATTGGCTTTGGGATGGTTTGGGGTCAGGGGCTGCAACCCGAGTTTGCTTACACAAAGTGCGGAGTTGAAGCCTTGCAGAATCCTTGCGGGATGGCGAAGTATGCTGGGTTTCCCACCAGCTTCAAGCCTGGTTGGCTGCCTGTTGATAATTACCTAACTAGTTCACCTGGGCCTTTCCCACCCCCTGATGTGGCAACCCTTCCTTTCATCCCTGAGCCCCAAGAATAACAAAGCCCCTGCAGCCAAACAGCTCGCTGAAGGCTGCTGGAGACAGCCATGGCTTGGGAGTTGCAACAGGCTGCGTTTGAATGTAGGTGGTGCTAGAACTGCAGAGTCTTTCAAACAACCGACAGATATCTAAAGGGGGTCCATGCTGTTCATCTGCGACAGTGCTGCCATTCTGCTTGTGGACCTGTACTGGCAATCCATGTTTTTTCAGCTTGTAAGGCCGCTGTGAAAGGATTTCAGCTATGCTACATGAGCAGGTTGCTCGCTTAAGCCGGTGCTCACGCTTGTGAATGAATTCTGGAAATCTCAGGCTGCAGCTCAGTTAGAGGAGTTTGCTCGGTTGCCCTTGATGCCATTTCCTGTTTGGAAAGTGTCCCTGGATTCAAGCGCTGCTGAGTGCCACACTATCTCGCAGGCTGTCGACTGCAGAAACACCGAGCATGGCCTTGGGTCTGGACATGTCTGGAACGAGCATGCCTAATAAGGCAAGGTGAAGAATTCCAGCATGCAAGCAAACGAGATGGTCCTGTGTCCTGGGCTAAGGCTCCTCAAGTTTCTTGAAATCTGCACTGCTTTATCTCCACGTGATTGGATCATTTCTGTGTCCTCATGATCCGTCGTAATGTCAGTCCTGCTGACAACCACTCACGCAAGACGTGCTCAGCAGCTCACTGCGACAACTCCGCTTCCTGCATGGCACCCGCCCACAGTCATTGCTGTTATTACGAATCTTTACGGTGAATCTTTACGTTCCTTACCACTATTACTACTATTGGTATGTTGCTACAATTCCTCTTCTTCCTACTATTACTAGTACTGCCATTCGTACTGCTATTGTGCACGGTACTCATCATGTTGCCATGTTGCCGCAGCAGGCTGACTTTCATGCTCATGCCGTTGACTCAACTCTGTCTGAAGATGCTATATGTAGTATATACAACTATATATACTATACATACTACTTGTAGAAATACATATGATAGAAATATATATATATATATAATCTACTGTAAACATACATTTATGCAAAAATGCTAACCCNNCCCCCCCCCCCCCCCCCCCCGCGTGCTCCCGCTCGCCTAGCGGATCGAAGCCCTGCCACGCTCCCATTGCCTTGGACGTGGCAGCAAAGGTTGAGCATCGACCAGTAGTAAAAACAGGAATGCTAATGGTAGTAATAGTAGATTAGCAGTAATAATCGAACAGGCTTTGCAATGTTGCGGAGCTTTAGACGGGCTACTTGGACTTAGAGGTCAGCGCCACTGCTGGAGCATCTTCGGCAGAGCTAGCATCGTCTCATGCATTTATTTATAGCCAAGCAGTTCCATGTTTTTTCACGAAGTTGTTGTGATCTACATCATCTCGAGTGCATTGAGTGCGCGACTCCTCCCAACTGGGACGTCAGGGCGACTCCAGCCTCAGTACGTCATGGCACTACAGCTCTATAGGTGGCCATGTATGCACCATTATGCACATAAATGCACTGCCTCAATCAGAGAAATTTGAACAGAACTCTGGCCGCACAGGAAGCCAAAGCAGCCGACGTCTCCACTTCTGGTACAGGATTCGAGGCACTGGCTGCCAGGGAATCTGAGCGGTGGTGCCAAGCAGTGGCTACCTGAGTACGCCCTAGTGGACGCGATGCCATTGGATGCACAAGCCCCATCAAGCGTCACCTGGTTTGCCAGCGACTTGCCAAGGGTTTGTTTCTGGACAATCTGCAAAAGTTTCTTTTGCAAAAACCGAGGTAGCAACTGCCAAATTCGACCTGACAGGAAAAGCAGAGCAGAAAACGCAGCTTCCTCGTCGTACATGGCACGATGTTGAGAGCTTTGCTCCGCTGGAAGACTATAAGGATCAGGATTAAGATGGCCACCCCGAGACTCTGATGATTCTATGCGCGACGACCGCTCAAGCTCCCCTATCTCTGCTCCTAAAAGATATGAAACCCACAGCAGGAGCCATCAGCTTTGCAAATTTCAATCTCCAACCTACAGTGCTGTTCGCATGAAATCCCTCTGCGGCCCATATGCCCCATGAAAGGCTCCTGTCTTGATAGACTTGAGGGAGGAGCCCGAAGCTCAAATCCTCTGAGGGTCTTGCTGTACCTGCTCCCCTGCAGTCAGCGTGGCTCTGTAGAGAGCCTGCAGTGATAAGGCTGCATGCAGTACGTACGACGTAGGAATACTCAAAGGCCAGCCGATATTCAAATTTCGGATTCAAAAAGTTGTCGTGGCACGGCACTGCACGGATTTCAAGACTATTGCATAGGATTCCGTAGCAACAGTGTTGGATATTCAGAGGCTGCGACTGCATTTAAAAGTAACAAAGACTAGACGGCCCCGCCGCAGCTCAAAGCGCAACAAGAGTTCAGGCCAGGACCTTTCAAGAATGTTGCAAGACTCTAAGATGTCCCTTGCCTATCAGCTTGCATGATGTTGGCCACGGCATGCAGAAGCGGTCGCAGTGCCTCCTTCAGCAGGATGGAGGCAAGTCCTTGGACAAAGCGGGGACTTTCAACAGTTGAACGCTGGATTCTGCTGTGACAGCTCCAGTGGATCCGAGACTGCAAGCGATCCAGTAAGCAACTCAAGCAACGGGTGACTCCGTGATCCGTGACTGTGACTGTATTCATGCGTTGTGCTGGCTAAGGGTGCAGCCCACGGCAACGGCAGCTCGCCGCACACTTTTTTCGATGCCTCCCAGCCACATCGTTACACCAAGTGTCTTGCTCAGCGGCTGCTGTCCCCAGTGAGTCTAGCTAGCAATCAATATGAGCTGTAGTCTAAACTCCTAGTATCCCCCTTAATAACACCTATAGTAGTCTCCTATATAATCCCCCATATAACCCACTTTAAGGAGGTCAGACACTGGCTCATATGAGGCTCGTCCGGCACAGCGGTTCACAGAACACGGAACAGTCTTCACAGCGTCCAAGGTCACATTCCTTTTGAAACTCCATCAAGCAATCAAATCTGCGCAGTCATGGTCTTCTTTGCCATTTAGGATACGTGGATGAGCCCACGATTGATCACTTAGATCTTTGACCCGCGGCAGCACAGGGTCGAAGTGCCGGGACTATGGTCCTTCCCGCGCAGCCATTCGGAATGTATCTGGTCCAAATACTTCCAAGGGAGTTCTGCCTCGTTGTTGCAGAAATGCCAAGGGGTCATGGTGTCTCCACCAACAGCCGTAGCCTTCCAGCGCGCCTGTCCTCAAGCTTCATGGTGGCAGGCAGTTTTGTGAGTTATCAGAAGACCAGGATGACGAAGCTCTGCCAAGGCTACAAGGCCAGTTGGACGATGGAAGCCTTTGCCATCACCTGGCCCCTTCTCCAACGAAAAGGATCAAGAGGCACCGTATCACCTTCTGCTTGCGGCGCTGACTAGAACCTCGATGAAGCGGTCCGCCAGGTCGGGGGGAATCGTATGGCCACCTGACTTTTTCGTAAGGTTGAAACACAATTTCTGAACCTCGAACCCACTTTCAGGAACTTGCCCTCGCATTGCGAATAAGCTTGTTTTCGATCCATGGCGAGCCTTTAAATTCGTGGTACTCCGCTTGTTGCATCCCAATCCTTGGGTAGCTCAATAGAGTCTCCCAAAATAATCAATTGAGCAGTGCTTCTTTCCGTGGCTGAACCAAGTTAGATTACATTATTCTCATGCAGTATCCCAACCAAAAGAGGGACATAATCTTACCCTATGTCGGGAACTATACCACCCCAGAGGAAAAACAAAAAAAAAGCAGTTGGAACCCCTACATAGAAGCAGTGCGGCTGCATGTGCCAACACATGTTACGTTGTGAAGTTCAGCTTGGGCAAAGGCTCTCATCTCGGCAGAAGTCTCGCATCCAGCGGCCACCATTGACACCTCATGGAAGAGAGCCAGTCGCAGAAAGCGAGTTCATGAAGGGACAAGCCCTGCCCTCAAAGTCTCAAGATCCCGACTAATTCTTTTCATGCTGCTTCTCCTTTGCTAGGGTAGGTCTGGGGGCCTATAATCTTTTTGGCTTTACATGGATTCTATATGGATTAAGGGTAATAAAAAACAAAAATCAAACCTACCCCAGTTTAACTCCGTTGTAAGGTGAATGCATGCTCTGGGATCCTCAATCACCTTGCAGGCTAAATTAAGTCCTTGCAACGGACAAAGGTGTCTGGGCCGCCCGACCCACTGCCCAATCGCCTGTACCGTGGCCTTGAACCAGCGGGAGCTGAGCCCAGCCCTCGCAGGGGGCAGGGCAAGTGAATTTCAAATGTTGAGCCTGACGACCTTTGAGATGGGTTGTCCCTGCTACAGACCATCTAGCAAACCTGAATTGTTGCCTCCAACGTCGGCTTAACAATGAAGTTCGATCAAGAAATGGTAGCGCCTTCTGAGCACCTCAATGCATGACGCATGGCTTGCCAAAAAAGGGCTGAGGTGCTTGGCCTTCAAGCAGGGCAGACGCTCGCGCCAGCGTCGCCTGGAGCACTACCGACAAGGTCTCGGAATTGCACATGCAGAATGCGTTTGTATCCACTGCATGCCCGCAGCTAAAGGCACTTAGCAACCACACCTGCACATGAGAGAGCCGGAGAAAAATCCCAGCGCTGCCGGGGTTTCTGGCAGGTGCAGGGACGCGTCCATCGCAACTGCAGCGCCTGACGAAGTGATCTACCACAGAGGAGCATAAGGGTAGTTGAGCAACGCCTATGTGTTTGTGTACCTGGTTGACGGCCTTGTGAGAAGCCACCCAGCGCAACGGACGCCAAGGGCAATCCCATAGTATCTCGCACTGTGTCAATGAGTCTGAGGGCCTGGGACAGAACAAGAGTGAGAACAATAACAACAGTAGCTATAGAACCACTAATAGCAATTGCCAGAACAGAGAGCACAAGGGTGCCCACAGCTCAAGCACAATCGGCCCCTTGATTTTCTGTGTGCAAAGCCGAAAGCATGTCCTTGCTGATGAAAACAATGAGGACCCACCCAGACGGAAAGAAAAACCGTCACACTAAGCCATACCATAGCTGGGCATGGATCAAAATCAAGGCTCCTGACCCCA